TATTGGACTATTTTGACTACAGTATACAAAAGGTTAATAACTGTGGTGCATACGTTTGATAGTAGGCTAATTATTAGAACTTATAATATAATAATATTATAATGTTGTGTACCACTAGAATTTTATTAGCCATAACCAAACACAGTGATTCCGCAGTTGTACCGTACTGAGGTAAATTTACCTGGGACCGAATCCGCGCTACACCTACTTATCTTAGCCACACACGTTGAAACTGCGTGTAAGCGCCGTTAAAGCAGTTACTACACAGAGTTGGACATTCAGTTGTCAAACTAAATCGTAATTCTTTCGAATGAGCTGACCGATTCTAGGTTTTTATCTTAACGAGTTGTTATGTACGAAAGGCTGTGCGAGGTGGAATGTAAAGGGATAAATCAAGGTAGGCCTACACACAAAGCTGGGCAATTACACGCGGATTAACAGAACCTTTTGGTGTAGGTATGCAAAAAAATATCACGTGATTTTGAATACTTTCTTAAATGTTCTCAGTTGCATACAGTAATGCAAGAGCCTGTGATGCTATTTAAAAAATAATTAATTTTTTTTTTTATTATGATATACATTATTGACCTTGGATTGACAATTCAAGAACATATGCTATCAATTATATCTGAGACTCTAAACTGTTATTAATCATCAATGGGCCTACGTAAATTCTCATGATGGTTGGTATAAATATAATATTGTGTGGTTTTTATTCATAATATATGTTCAAGGTTCTAATTAATATTAAATGTAATTATTTACCACAAGATAATATTGTTTATATTATAGGCTATGCTAAAATTCTAAGTAAAAAGAGGCCCATAATAAATGAATATTATTATTATGGCTACGTAGATCAGTTTATAATATCACTGTTAAATCATCATGCTTTTTGTTTTATGATTTTATGAAGCGCATAGAAGCACTGCGCAATATGCGCTATATATATGTAAATTATTATTATTATTATTATTATTATTATTATTATTATTATTATTATTATTATATTGCATTGAATGTTTGAGATCCTAAAGGATAAAAAATGTTGTATAACTGATTTTTCTAGGATACAAAATTGTGACGAAAGAATCGGGAACGGTTAATGAGATACAGATTTTTGAATATTTAAAAACTGGGGGAGTGCAAAAGGGTGGTTACACCCCCTTTTTAAATGTCTCTTCAATCGATATGTTAGTGTGATTTTTGATGTGGCTTACTCTGTCTTCATGGATTGATGTGTGGCTGTGTTTGTGGATGTGAGTGGTAAATGAGAGGGATGTTGCATTCCAAATTATGCAATTTATTTAAATTATAATATTTAAAATCGTATCTTTCCACTCACAGCACATGCACAAACAAGGATAACAAATAATTAATTAAGTAGACCTATGTCTTTTTCTGATACTGTATAAATTATGTAAGAACACTACTAAAAGTACCGTACATCTATTATTTTTTTGTTGGGAATACGAGAATAATTTAAACAGTAAAATGTTCAATTTATATGTTGGCTGAACACAAAGCAAACAAACATGCGAGTATGTGTCATGTTGTTTATCATTGTTATCATAATGATCTAAAATTATTTCCTAAATAGCCAAAATATTTAAACACAACTACAATGAATGTGAACAAGAATTCAACCACAAAGTGTAATCAAAATTCAAATAAAAACTTGGTTTTGTCGTTAAACAAGCTATTTTAGTCAAACACGGTATGCCTAGCTTTTATTCATGACAATTAAAATATTATTAAAGTAGGGCCTATTGAAACAACTTTTACAAAAAAAATTAAATAATAAAGGCATTAGCTTACCAAGAGCGAACTAAAATATTTAATACAATGATTTAACGGTAAACATACAAAATTGTGGCTGACTATAGACCTAATTAAGGAATTTAATTATTAATTTATTAATTTATTGTGTTTAATGTATTTCCGATAAATGATACAAGAGGAAATGAAAGACAATGCCATAAGTAGCAACACAAAGTTTAAATAAAAAAATAAAAGAAACAACTTTCTTTGGCTAGAGTTTAAAATATTTGGATCAAACATTGCTTATTTGACGCAATTGTATCAGTTTTTCAAGATCGTTTCAGTGTTTTAATTTTAAAGTATGGCTACATAGTTCGGTTTGTAATAGAGAGATTTGATCTATTACTGTGTTTCTTCCGAAACTACTACAAGCATTGCATGTTAGTTCAAACTTAAGAGATTGAAGGGCTCATGAAAATGTAGTTGATATGAAGAGTATTATTAATCTCGTTTAAAGAAGCAGCCTATTACGGTATATTCGTTTGGAAGAGGGAGGGGGGAACCATAACTTTACATGGTTTGTGAGCGAATTTGTATATTATAACAGTAGAGAATTGTTATTCCGATCTTAAACATTACCTTTTTACAACGTATTTAATATCTGAATGTATGAAAATCTTAAGCATCAATAACAAACAATAACTATATCATTTAAAAGAATAAAAACAAGTAAACTTTAACGAAATACAGATAAAAATTATTCAATCTTCGCTGATTTATAAACTTGCTAAAACATCTTAGAATTCATATTTTTTGCAATTTAAAGGTCTATAAAGAATAATAGGACGTCATATTATTAAATAGGTGCCTGGTATTGAAAAGGAAACATTTTCTCGTTTTTACTTTTACTTAAAAAGACAGTAAACCTAAAAATTGAAATTTGGAAATTAAAATAGTGAATACTATTTTTCGTTAAGCCAATCTTGTACTGGGTGTATATAGGTTATATACATTTATACATACACACATTTATTTATTTATAATTATATAAATATTACATAGGCCTACATATTGATATTTAATTGCACTGTAGCGACTTGTACTGACATTAATAAATCCGTTAAGTCAATGTAGAGCTATTCTAATCAGTAACACAAATCCTTATATATTTGGTTGGTTATATAAATACTATAAAAAGAGCAGTAGCAGTATTATACTGCTACTGCTCTTTTTATAGTATTTATAATACCAACAAATACTAATATAAATATAAATTATAATTATATATTAAAACTATCAAGCCTTTATTGTTTGCATGTTTTGTCTTTGAATGAACTGTGCATATTAACAATACAAGAGTAGTCGAAATTTGGTATAAACTTGTAGTGTAGTTTCTAAATTTAAAATTATATATACCAGAGTGTTAACTTCAATATCATTACAGTATTATATAGACCTATTGTAAGAATTTATTATAAGTAAACGCACTTAGTTGCATCTTCTTACCATACATATCATATACAGTACGCCTATTATATATTGGTGGCCTACAACTTATAACAGTAAATATAGATTTAGGCCGATATATATATATATATATATATATATATATATACTTATATAGAGGCATGGACATAAACTGTATATATGCATATAGGCCTGTCTATATACTGTATGAAGAAATAATATTTAATACATCAATATTATAAAGGACTATATAATAATAGACTTTTATCAATTTTGTATATGCTATACATACTTATAGGAACAATAGGGGTTATGCTTGATACTAGATTGCTGGGACAATATACATATTACAAGAAACATAATTGAACAAACGTATGTAGTAAAAGTTTCGATTGAAGCTTTTTAACCGACGATGAAAGAAAGAATAACAGAAACTCAGTGTATATTCAGTTCAATTGATAAATTAATATCAGACGGATAATAATTTAAACACGTACCCGTTAAACGAAATCACAAGAACTATTAATGGATTGTGTGCACCATTCTATTATAAACAAAACACACGATATATGTATCAATGTATCGTGTAATTTAAGTAATAACAACAAAAAACAATATCAGTAATAATTGCTAATACTACAATAATAACAATAACAAATTATTAGATATAATAATAATAATGATAGTTTTACTGATACTATAATATAATGATAGGCCTAATAAACATTAGTTTTCGGACAAGTACGCCTCATATGCAATACAACTATTCACACGTTTGTTCATAGCAACTAGGTAAACTTTAGGGCTTCTTGTCTGTTTGTAAAATCGTGGTGAAGTCTATGAACCTGATGAACCTGACAAATCGGTTAAGGTAGCATACAGCGTGCCTGTGGTTAGTTAGGTTTTCCTGACGTTTACATCACAGAAACGATCTTAGTGGACTTCAGGTCTTTAATATTATTTTTCCGGTAGGGTATTTGGAGATATGCTTATGGCCTACCAATTGCTACAATAATGCTGTGTCGTTACGTAGACTTATGTCCGGTACAGTGAGGGCAGCGTGTAAAGGGTTGACGCTTCACAGAAAGGTTACGTATTCTGAGTTAAAAAGTCCCATCAAAATCCGGTAATGAATAACTAGCCATTTTTTCAGCTTATATTATTAATTCCTAAGTTGGTATACAATAGCAGAACCATAATGCATGATTGGTTTGAAACAATTATAACTAGAAATCTGAGCTGGACAGATAGGAGAAATGAGGCTTGCTAAAGTGGTTTGCACGATAAGCGGTGTGTTACCTTCGGATTGGTGTGGTATGGAATACCTACTGTGTCGTCCAATACTGTATATTATACGAACTTTACTTTCTTTTTAAATTCCATTACAATAATAATTTTCTTTTATATAGGCCTAATTTGGGTTACATGTATTATGTGAAAAAGTGAAAATACGACCCAATCACAATCCGATAGGGTATTGGTACGATCACATATTTGATTTTACCGAAGGAAGGTCGTGGCACAGTAACTTTCTTTAAACAGTCATTGCGACACTGACACAACAGTGCCCTATTACATATTGTTAACAATTACCTTGGTGAAGACAGAATAATATTAACACTGCATAAATACATTAAAATGATGAGAGCAATTATATTTAAGCGAAACATAATATTACTGACTGATTATAGTTATAATCGTTTGAGAGATACATTGCGAACGGCTGTTTTCAGATGAATAGGAATATCGAGAAAAAAAAAATCTTAACCTACCGTGGTGTGACAGGTCCGTCGGCTCACTGTTATGCCCCGCTGATAGGTGCGAGAGTGGGCTAAGATACTGGGTTTGGTCTGTAGCCTGCATGGCCTGAATGGGGGATGTGTTACCGCCTCCGTTGCAATCCGCTAGCTGCTGTTTCATGTAGCGGCCGCCGCTACCGAATCCCGTCGGCCAACACGACGCCGCTGCGTACGACATCACCTGGTTATCAATAACGCCGTTTGCCTGGGAAAAATACATGCCTTGGTGGTTTGGTGGCGAGGTGGTGTTACTGGCCTGTAGTTGAGCCGCACCATAGTCCTGATTCGACATTGAAACAGCACACGTTGACATGTATCCGCCGGAGGCACCGCCGCCAGCGCTCGCATTCTGAGTATTCGTGCCTAGGTTTACAGAAGAACCCATCATATTCATTCCAATATTATCGTAACCATTATTATTCATATTGCCCATGGAACATGCCATGTTCGATAGAGCAGCCGAGTTGGGGTTTTGACCAAACATATCCAGGTGAGATCCGCCTAGCATAGGGGTCCCGTGCATTCCGGCCATAGCGTTCATCATCGCATACGGAGGTCTGAGAGCTTGACATTTGCGACGGAAACCCCTGGGACGTCGTCGAAACGACCCCTCTTCAAACATAAACTCACTAGCAGGATCTATAGTCCAGTAATGTCCCTTTCCTGGTCGGCCTAATCCTTTTGGTAGTTTGATGAAGCATTCATTTAGTGACAAATTGTGACGGACAGAGTTTTTCCAGCCCTGGTAGGCACCGCGAAAGAATGGAAAACGCTGCATGAGAAATTGGTAAATTTCGCTGAGAGTAAGGCGCTTTGTTGGTGAGCTCTGTATAGCCATAACTATTAACGCAATGTAGGAATAAGGTGGTTTCTCATGACGACGAATTCCAGCTCCTACCTTTTTACCTGCATTCGGTTTATCGGTAGGGGAATCAGCAGCTACTAGAGAGTCCTGTGTCAAATTAGTATCATCTTTGGTATCTGTGTGGATCGGTTGTGAGCCCGATAAGCTGTCGTCCATATCGGTACATTCTGACTTGATCAATGGGGGTGATGTTTGCTGGGTTACCTGCATACTCGTATGCAATGCAACCTGGTGATTCTGAGTGATAGGTTGCTGTGTGTGGATCGGCGGCGGCTGTTGTTGGATAGACGGAGCCGCCATTCTTTCCTGGATCGTCATTGAGAACAGTGAAATATCAATACAACTTTAATAAGAATAGTTTACCTCTAACGTCCTCGGGCTACGACGATGGGTAACGTGTTACTACCAAAATCACACACTGCAAAAAACTTCTTATCAGCCGTATCCGTAGAGTTTTATAATTTCATTTGTGACTCATCAAAAAGAATAAATGACGTTGTGATTCCGGACGTAGATCCAAAAACAAAGTTGACGATCCATATACGACCGAAATAAAACAACCGAACGCGCTATACTAGAACAGCTTGTTGGTTGCGGGTTAGCGGGTGGTTGTATCGACGACCGGGCAAAGAATTGTAATGTTTGGCAGACAAGTTGGTTGGCTGAGTTGTAGAAGAGCGCCAACTCAGTCAGAAAGAAGAGAGAGAGAGAGAGAGTAAGTGGCGATCAGATGTCCCGCCCCCCACGTCGAAAACAGACCAATGTTTTTAGCGCTGACATACGAGAAAGAACAATCGCGTGTAAAATGGAGGCATTAGGACGAGGTGACACGCTATCACGATATCTTGCTGGAAAACTAGAATTCTGCCAGGTAAAAGGTTACAACAGTCAATCCTATCTATCATAACAGGTTTAGACCATTCGGATTGTAATTGAGTAAGACAAAATTACATACTAAATGAATACAATAAAACCCCTGTTTCTTACTTTTATCATTTGATCTAGGTCAAATATCTAAATTGATTGATTTAATTGTTATCAATAATTTATAATAGGCCTATACAATACCATTTTGATTTATTTTGCAAAATAGATTAAGAATACCGGTAATGATATATCGTTTAAATGCAATCCGTGTGTAAATAATAATAAACAAATACTAAAAATAAAAATATTAAAATAAAATAAAATAATGGCATTAAAGAAACGGCAGGGCTGTGAAATACGAATGTCGCATTTTAATTTAATGATGATAATGATTATGATAAGGATGATGATGATGAGGATGATGATAAGGAGGATGATGAACAAGTTCTATGAGCTGCGCGTTAAATTCAAATGTCGTGCAATCGTTTGTGCATTTTGAAGGATCAGGTTTTTGGGGGAAAAATCTTATTTGTTTTGCTACCCTCGAGTTCCAATGTAACGTCTTATATACTGTGGGAACCATGTGGACCTCGTGATAAACCGTTTACACCGGAATAACCGAAGAGAAAACGAAAGTTGATGTTGAAATACTTTACGTAATTTAATCACATCATCACACCGCGAGCACCCTTTCAAATAGTTACTTGTTACTTGTATTTCCTCTGTTGTGAGTACATTAGGTCGTCATTGATTGATCATTAGCTGTTAATGTATTCACTTGTTTAAGAGAGAGGCCAGCTTTTGTGTTAATACATTATAGTTTATTTATGCTTATTTGTTAATTTAATTCAATTTAATTCAATTAACGTATTTAATTAGTATGTAACTCAAGGAAGGACACTTAGGTTGTACTTTCGTTTCAATATTCAAGATTCAAGATTATTTTTTGTTCCATATAAAAATACAGAAACTTGTATTGCTTGGCAGATGAATAAAACATAGGCCTATACGGTAAATATCAAATACAGTACAATGCCAATAACTTATAAAAATAAGAGAAGATTAGTTCATAATAAAAACATACAAATGACAAATAAAAATATAAAGAAAAAATGTAAAAAAAAGAAAGCGTTTAAAATGTTAATTCAAATGTTAAAAACTTAATAAAATGTCTTAAAATTTATTAATACATTAACACAGTTAAAGCTATTAAAACACTTTGAATATATTATTTAAAACCTTAATTACAGTATTACAGCAGGTCATCGTTTAACATTAGAATTAAAATAGTTAAAACCTTTATAAATTCTCTTAAATTTATTTTAACAACAAAAGCTAAAACTAGTAAAACGCTTAGGAATATTAAATATTACATTATTACAGCAGATCATTGTTTAACATTAGAAATGAAATAGTTAAAACCTTAATAAAATGTCTTAAAATTATTTACAACATTATGAAAGATATTCAATTGCTTAGGCTTAAAAAAAAAAACCCATTAAAATGTACAGTATTGCAGCAGATTATTTTTAAACATTGAATTAGAAATGATAAGAATTCAGAGTATGAAGGACGGTCTGAACCCTCATAAGGGTCGCTCGTCTTCCTGATCGGACTGTACCTTGTATGTAAATCTGATTATTACCCCAATTATAATCTTATAAGCTACGTGAAAAACGTGGGGAATTGTTACCTTTCAATTGTTAAAGATGGATTGTATTATGCCTTCCTTTCAATCTGTTCTTGATACTGTTAAATAATGGGAATTCTTGTATGGGTAGAAAGCTCTGTACTAATTCCTATAACCAAGCATAGGCTACCAATGATTAGGTGACACGAATATGCCAATTATAGGCTTAATAACTGTAGAGCCTATACGCCAACTACGTGTATTTGGTGTATAATATTTAAAAATAAATAAAATTCCAATCGTATTCAGGAGAATATCTGCAGAAATTTCCAAGCAGGGAAATATTATATACTTGGATAGTGAGACTTGCTGCTGATTGGTGGAAAACTAAACAATAATAATAATATCGTTGTTGTTATGAAAATCAATCAATTAATCGTATTATATTATTTTAATAACAATAATAATAGTCATAAAATAATAATAATAAAGCAATTATTATTAATAATATGTTATTATTTTTAATAGTAGGCCTACGTAGAAAAAGTCGGTCATGTATATTTTTTCTCAATTTTACTTATGTCTTGTTAATTTATCATCAATTAAAAGCCATTGGCACTTGTGTTACGTCGTATTTTGTAATAAAGCTTTATTACAAAATACGACGGACTTTATTACAAAATACGACACCTCAGTTTATTACAAAATACGACTGAAAGTTATTATAAAATACGAAAGCTCTGTTATTACAAAATACGACAAGGTTTGTTACAAAATACGACAGGTATTACAAAATATGTTAAGGTTAAAATACGACAGGTACCGTATTCGCGCGAATAAGCGCCCGGGCGCTTAAAATATTTTTGACTCTTTTTGAAGGGCGCTTATTCAAAAGGGGTGCTTATGAAAACAGAGTGGAAATTGAGGGGGTGCTTGTGGAAGTGGATGAAAATTGAAGGGGTGCTTATGGGAAATTGGAAAGTGGTGGTGTTGGTGGTGGTGTTGGTGGTGGTGGAATCGTGTTGGCCATCTGCCAATTCAGATTAACAGGATCATTGCAGGGTTTCTTGCTTAAATACGAGAGTGATTGAGGTCAGTTTATTTTTGGTGATTGAAAATGGCCATACGGTATTTTAATTTTTAGATATTAAATACTGTAGTTTTAAATCCAAAAAAAGTAACAATAAAACAAGAACGGCATTCTAAAGATGCATCAAAACTGAAAAAAGTGTTAAAAGTTAATAGAGACTAATAGACCATAGACCGACAGATGGATAGATGGACTGACCGACCGACAATGCTAAGATACATGTGAATTGATGCAGAAAATTAAGTCGGTGATGTACTGTACTGTACTGTGTGATTGAATTTTTTTAGGAATCGATGGGCGCTTATTCAAAATTGAGGGAGGAGCTTATTCAAACGGGGCGCTGTAGACAATTTTCACGTTAGGAGGGGCGCTTATTCACGCGAGTACGGTATTACAAAATACGACAATTATTATACAGAAAACGACGTAACACACGTGGCCCGTTTACCCATGCTGCATACGACAAACTGTCTCCCAATCAGTTTTACGTAATGGATATCTAAACAGTAATGAAGATGGTTAAACGGAAATGCATCTTAAAGGTTTTTAACATACTGCTTGATAATAATAAGAAACCTTTATGTAGACAATGTATGTGGAAAGCAAATTCGTTACTTCCTTTTTTTTTTAAACAAAATTTAATTACAGCACAAACAACGTCTCCGGTTCATTTCTATTGCTCCTCTCCTTACATTGAAGGACAAGCAACCTAATAATATTTTAAGTAAGTTTTGCTGAAAATAAGTAAGTCAGTACCGTATAATGAGAAATATTAGGTAAGAATATATTCTTAGTAACAATACTAAAACGCCATCGGATTAGCATTGCAGTACCCGCCGCTATTTGGGGATCGGATTCATCACTAGCCACTCAGCACAAGTCCGGTGATCTAGTAATTAAGACATCAGGCTAGTTACCTGGAGGTCGTGGGTTCGATTCCTACCTGAATCACTTGCGAGATTTTATTCGCAAG